AAATTTTCGGAAAATTTAGGAAAGCGATTAAGCAAATTTTCCGGAAATTTAGGGACCGAGGCTTCGGGCTACCCGGAACCAGAAATTTTCCAGAAATTTAGGGGAGCGAATCCGGCTTGCGGCCGTCGAAGAGGCCCAGCCTTTCAAAGGGCACAGCCCAAGCCCCAAAATTTGCCGGAAATTTTGGGTCGGCTTGCTCGCCGGGGTCCAGAAATTTCCGGCAAATTTTGGGGCTGGGGCACTCCGAGGCGTGACGCACCGCATAGGGCTGGTTTGACCGTAGCAACTTATAGAGTAGATTAAATAATCTCTTCCATAATCTTAATATATATATATATATATATATCAATAGAATCTTAAATATCGATAGAAATATTATTTAAAAAGACTCATATATTTACATCATTTCCATTTAAATATCACCAAATCGCAAAAATAATTCCAAATTATCGATATTATTCCTGAGTGGTATAATAGAACATTTATCTCCGTTCATGAAAATTAATCATTCCTTCGCCTTCTTCGGCAATCATGATTTTCAATTTTCAAGTAATAGAACAATCGTATAGTGAATGAAATCATCGGACATTTCATCAAAATATCCGAATTCATTTTCGATGGAGATCTTGCCATATGTCCTTTCTTTTTGCGCCATTTTGCGTTCTGCTAGTTCTGATCACTAGATTGGCCGGATTGCGAAGAACCCGTGTCTTGCAGTGGCTCTCAGATCTCATCATGCACATCGCTTGCTGCTCTCTTGCGGCCCACAAACATTCCCTGAATGATTTTGCCTTCCTTGGCAAGCTGTGCCATGAACTCAAAGTCAGAGATCAACTTGTTGTAAGCTTCTTCATCCCAGTTCAACAACTTCTTGGCATCATAGACGGCCTGCAACTTCAACATGTGCAAGTAGCTGTCCATGGCAGGTGAGAAGCGACCGCTGTTCTCTGCAATCTCAACCTCAAAACCTGCCTTCCTCAGCATTTGAGCATACTCCTCCACTGTTGGGATGGCAGGGAATGTCATCAGGCTCAGGTATTTCTGGGCCTCTGCGTCAGACAGGCCTTCACCCTCGATCCAGTCAGTAAACATGACTTTTCCGCCGGGCTTGACGATGCGAGCAGCCTGGTCAATGATCAGCTGCTTGTCAGGCATGTAGCACCAAGCATCCTTGCTGTATACAAAATCAGCGGAGGCGTCCTGAGCGTTTGACAAAAAGCAACAACCTCTGTGTGCTGCGTGAGAAACGTTTCGAACGTGATAGGACCTACCACTGGTATATGCAAAGTACAAAAGAACGCAATATGCACCACATCTGCATAAGTTTGCATCGATAGTCGCATCAATTCTTGCATTTGCTGCTACGACTTCGCGACTCCCCCCTGATTCCCTACATTTCTCCTATTCCAAATGGAGCCCAAGTTTCAGGGAGGCCGTTCTCCAAGGAGTTCTTGTTGATGAACTTGATCTTGTCACCGAGCCCCTCCTCCTCTGTCCTCTGTCTGCCCGTCTCCACCACAGACTTCGTGAGGTCCACGCCAATCATCGAGTCCACTCCTGCAAGGCGAACCAGGCAACGCATGCCTCCGCCGTTGTTGCAATTCAACTCAACTCCCTTCATCCCTGGCCCCACATGAGCTCTCTTTGCCAGCTCCAAAGTGGAAGATGCGCCGCCGATGTCAATCTGCTTGCCCATGACCAGTTCCCACACCTTCTGCTCCGGACCGCTGTAGCACTTTGCAATGGCATCTGTACTGGCTGCCTGCTGGTCCTGCAGGATCTTCATGGCGTGGCTGCAAATGCTTGAAAACGTAAGCAACCAAGCGGCGACCTGCGCGAACACCATGGCTGCAAGTGGCAAACTGGGGTACTCCCGGTATTCCCTCAGCGAGATGCACACAAAGCAAGCTAAATCCGAGCTGCGGTTGTCACTCACAAAGTCGCAGAGAGTCATACAAGAAAGCCACAAGTGCGGATTCAGCGCCAGTAACCTTACTTTAAGGCATTCTTGCATGGGCACAAGTAACGAGGCGTTGACCTGCGAAAGCAGATTTGGCTTGATGCTCCTTTACTGGTCACTGGTCATTTCTGCTTCGTTTGTTTTGGCAAGGAGCTTATCTCAATTTCGGGAAACAATGGGAACCTTGTACAATGAGAGCCGCCCTTTAAGTCCCGTCCATGTACCACACTCAATCAGAGCGTGGCTGCAATTTGGATTCAGCAACATGAGCGGGCCCAGTTGCACGTTGCTATAATTTGGTGTTGTTGTGGAGGTTTCGTGCTGACACAATCTGACACATGTCTTGTCTCAGAAAACACGGCACGGAGTATTCTCAACTCATCGAAACTACCCATCTCCGCCCCCGCCGGCCCCAAGGGAGTCATTTGTGATTTGGCATGTCTGTGCAGATCCGGTACTGATGAGTCCTCATTCACGCTCGTTTGTGATCTCTCCCGCCAACTGTGAAAAGTTGGTACCACTTCATGCTCGGCCTGCCTTCAAGATCTTCTTGAAAGCTTGCAAGGAATGAATTCCCCCGGCTGCGCCCTCTTGTGGCTTGCGGGAGCAGTCAAGGTCATCACTGGTCTGAACAGCTTTGCGGCACGAGCATGACTCTGCGATCCTTCGATCGCACTTATCCATCATACTCGCCCTCCTCCTCATCAAACTCACCTGTGCAGCAGGACCATTGCTAATGCTGCTGTTTCGTGAGCTCTTTGAATCAACTTCAGCCACCAAACCCCCTAAACCCGAACTAAACCCCAAAATGCAGAACCTGCCTTCCTCCTCGGCGGTGGCATCCTGAATCACGGGCTCTTGGGTCGCGTTGAGGTCGGATTACGTCGGATCCCAGGGTTTGGGGTTTAGGGCTCTATATGTGGCAGCAGAAAGATTTTGGAAACACTCCGGACAGCAAAGACCGCTGAGCCCCCAAAGCAAGCCTGACGACACTTGCTTTCGAGCGCTTTCAGCGTCAGCCCCTCGTCGTGACGGAGCAACATCTTAAACCGAGTTCAAGACGTTTAGGATCTATATCCTAAACCCTAAACCCTAAACCCTAAACCCTAAAGCCCTAAAGGTTCAGGGCTCCAAATGCTTGGGGGGCCGTGCCTGGTACTGCTGGTACTCCGACACCAGGTCATTCATGTTTGACTCTGCCTCGGTGAACTCCATCTCATCCATGCCTGGCGACCAGCTCCCGCAACACCACAAACCCCCCCTACAACCCTAAACCCCTAAACCCCTAAACCCCTAAACCCCTAAACCCCTGAACCCCTGAACCCCTAAACCCCTAAACCCCTACACCCCTAAACCGTAAAACCGTAAACCCTAAACCTACCCTAAACCCTAAACCCTAAACCCTAAACCCTAAACCCTAGTCCCTAGTCCCTAGTCCCTCTAGTCCCTAAACCCTAAACCCTAAACCCTAAACCCGAGACCCGAAACCCGAAACCCTAAACCCTAAACCCTAAACCCTAAACCCTAACCCTAAACCCTGAATCATGACGAAGCTTGCCATGGGCGCAGCGACCCTCTCAAAGTCTCCTCACCCCCCGATCCCGCCCTCAAATCCGAGTCGCTGATCCACAGCCCTTCGGCGCAGGTCTCAACTTGGGTATAGGGTTTGGGGCACCCCTTCGCTGCAAAAAAACTCCTTCAGAGTCTTGGGGTGTTTTGAGCTGGCCCTTCGATAAACTCCCCTGTGTGGAGGTAGATCGCCGCTGTGTGTGCTTCTGGCGTCCGGAATCCCCTCACCGGCCCGAAATCCTGAGCCGCCTTTGAGTCGAAGTTTTCGAATCAATATTCTTCGGAGGCCTTCTCCAGTGTACCAGTGGAGGAAGGCTTTGCGGCGGAACATAGCCGTGAAGTACTCGGCCACCCTGACAGGTGCTAGGGTCCACGGTTCTGAAGTTTTGGGCTTCCGCATTGAAGGCCTCTCGGACTTTAAGGGGACAGGGAGTTGGGGCTTCCTTAGATTCAATATGGGAGTTGATCTACATGACGGGCCCAAGCAATCAGGAACCTACTCCAAAGAGGCCACAACTTAGAGCACTCCCCCAGCGTAGTTCCCCCTGCCTGTAGTTTTAGGTCAGATTACTAGGCCTAGAGCTGCTTCTCTCAGCGGCAGGGGTAGTGTTTTTTTGAAGGGAGTAGCTCACCCCGACTAAGGCATGCGAATTTGCTGGGTTTAAGAAGCTTCCGGCACAAGAACTTCCGGGGTACAGGGTTTCGGGTTTAGGGTTTCCGGTTTGGGGTCAGGGTTCCCGGTTTCGCCTCGGGCTTAAGATGCGCAAGTTTCGGCGTTTTGCCCTTCTGGTAGGTAAGAGCATGCAGAAACCTCCAGAGACTCAGGTGGCCTTCTGACAGCTTTGACAGGGGTTTAGGGTTTAGGGTTTAGGGTTTAGGGTGCGGGCCCAGGAGTTGGAAGAGTTGTTCTGACCACATCGCTTTAACACGAGGCCCTGAAACGGAAGTGCCAGCTGCAGGAAAGCCATTTTTAAGTTTTTAAGGGGTAGGATTAGGGGGACCCTTGGGGAGATAGACCCTCTGAATTCGCCCTCGGCTTCCTGCAGAGAAGCGTCTGGAACAAGCAGACCAGGATGGGGTCCAACCCTTCCCCCCCCCCCACCCCCCCTCCCCGGGGGCTTGGGATGTGCCTGGACTTTGCTGGGACCAGCTGGGCCTGGCTCCCACTCCCCTCTTTGTCGACTTCCTGCCGAGAAGCGTTTGGAACAAGCAGACCCGGATCCAGTCTCCTGCCCCCTTACCCAACCCCTCCTTCCGTGCGGAATTTTCATCTCCACATACTGCATGCTCTGGGCCGGCCCGGCTGCCGAGGCGGCGCGCAAGCGTTTACAATAAGGTCCCCCTTATCCTACCTAGGAAGTTTAGCTGAACCCCACAGGTCGCAACGTCACCTGTTTCAACGTGTGGTTGAGTTTAAAGTTAGGTCTTCCGGAGGCGTGCAGTTCTGGTCGGGTTTAGGACGCATGGATGTTGAAATTCGCGCATTGAGGATTTGCAGCTTTTCAGCGTTGGTTCATAGGTTGGTTCTTAGGGTTTATCAGCCACACCAAAGGGCCTTCAAGGAACCCGGAACCCCAAACACCGGTCTCTTGGAGCCTTTGGGGTGTAGGGTTTGGGGTTTAGGGTCTAGGGTTTAGGGTTTACGGGGGGGCAGAAGTGCCTCTTGAACATCTCCTGGATGGCGGTCGAGTTTCCCGCAAAAGCAACAGCCATCTTGAGGCCTGCGCTCTTTTGGGAGATGGGTTGGATTCAATGACCAGTTCCTTTCGCCCAACATCCATTGAGGACATGTGTGTGCCTTCAGCAGATGCTACCTTCAAAGCCCGTGTGTTCGCACCGCGCGATCTGTTGTGGTTCTTGTGACGATTTCGTTTGTATCCTCGTGCCGAGCCAGCATTTGTAGCAACGAAACCATGGGGCCACTTCACTAACCCGGAGGAACCTGAAGACCCAAGACCCCAAGGTCATAGCAGCATGTCCTGTGATTATGTTCAGAACACGCCCCCTTAAGCCGTGACCTCAAAACCCTTGGGCGCAGCCTTTCGGGGGGATGTCGCAGACCGACGCCTTGATGTTGTTGGGGATCCACTCCTTGGGAGCACGTGAGGTCCTTTCTGACAATTCTGTTTACGTTCGGGGTTTGGGTGGCCTACGGTGTCGGAATAAAGTCCATGTCTCAACGATCTGGATGGAGGTCCCATGAGCCTCTGCGGGCTACATTGACAGAACTGATCAGGGCAAGGTCCAAGGCCAACATCCAAGCCATAACATCACAGGAGTTGCTCTCGAGGCCTTTTCTGGAGCATCGAAAAAAAAAAGGCCGCGTCCAATTGCGGTGGAACGCAGGGAAGCAAACGCAGCATCAAGAGCTGGTGGGGTCTGCGAAAACACCGCCCGGACAAGTACTGGTTGCACCGTGAGCATGTTTATGCACTCCACCGACCGGCCCATCCCCAAATATCTTGCTTAAAGACACGCTCGCCTCCCACTTTTTAGTGTTGCTCACTGACTTTGTGTGGCCTTGGCGGCCCTTAAACAAGCCAGGCAACCAGCCTACGAGATCAACTTACCAACACACCTATCACGTCACGCGCTGCCCCAACTCCAGCCAGCGACATGTTTTCGCTCGCGGACTGACTGGGCAGCAGGATTCGGCGACCGTTGCTATTCCTACATTCGTGTGAGCCCAGTCCCTCTGCCCATCCAACTTCAGCCCTGCTGCCCCATGAAGAACCAAGTTTCCACGAAGTAGGAGGAGTTCTTGTTTTGGACGTTCAGCATTTGTTCATCCACCTGCATGTATGTGTGGGCGCGAGATGACACGGCACTCATTCACTCGACGATAAGAAAAAGGCATCATGCATGAATGTTCTGTCCATCCATCTATGCGGCTGCTCTGCAAGGATTTAGGTTTTAGGTTCAGGGTCAACCCGAAGCACCAAGAAGCGCTGCTTCCGGAGGTCTAAAGTCTAAGGTTAGAACCATGTAGCAAACCAACCCCCCTTGACAAGGACTCTGACGAAAACTCGCGTTCCCCCAACGCCCTCGTTGAGGAAGTGTCAACCCCACGTGAGTTTGGGCCCTACAGGTAAGCTCCCAGACCCCAAAACCCACACAAGAAAGGGGTGTAGGGTAGAAGGGTAGAAGGGCAGAACGGTAAAAGGGTAAAAGGCCGGGTTGAGGGTCTAAGGAAATCTCCGTCGAGCGGACGCAGCGAACCTCCTTGGTGGACATGCGACCGCGGAAGAGGGCCGCCGCCGTGAGGTAGCGCCCATGGCGCGGATCCGCTGCGCACATCCTTGGAGGCTTCGGGCTTGGGTAGGGTTTCAAGGTTTGAAAAGAGGGTTTTGGGATGATCTAGGGTAATTATAGGCAAAACTCAGGGGTCATTAAAGATTATCGGGGCTTAAATTGAAATAGCCGTAAAGGCTGTCCAGAGTTAAATACAGTGGCGCGCGCCCGCGAAATCGCCAACTGTAATGTGT